TCTTCTTGTATGCATCCTTTAAATATATTTTTATTTAAACATTGGAATTACAGATTTCATGCCTTTAATTTATGGAAAATATCTGCCAGATAATCCAATAGGCAAAGCCAGTCTATGTGGTGAAGGCAGACACGTAGCCAGATCACACGTTCAACCAGAAAAAGTCTGACTTTATTTGGAAATTCACATAAATGTGGATGCTAATTCTTAGGTAGAGAGAAACTCTGCCAGGGCTCCTGGATGAAAGAAGGCGTTGCCCACCTAAATATTTCTTCCTGATGTTCTCTGGTTTGCTCCCCTGATTCTCCTTGGGAGGGCTGCATTCTCTAAATGTTGCTTCGTCTAACTCCCTAGAGGTTTTTACATCTGAGGTAATGTACCAGTGTGAAAGGCAGGACTGGTTATAGATCTGTCCTTTCTTTGTAATGTAAAGGCCCCTTGTATGGGGCAGGTGGACGTGGACACACCTTGTTAGGGTTTTAGAAAATTTACCTCCCACTTAAGAAAGAAGGTCAAAGGTCACTTCGTTGCTTCAAGAGTACCAGGTTCTTCCAGGTGAAATCACTCTCCAAGAGGCAGTTTCTTCGGAAGAGAAGATCCCATCAAATACTTAGAGCCCTTAAAAAGGGAGAAGGCTCTCATTTGTGGTTGCTGGTTACCCTCCAGAGGGGTGGTGGGACTGACGTGAGCTTTGGTGAATTCCCTGATCTCTGAGGTGCTGGGGTGATAGGCTACCAAATGCCAAGCAAGGGTTTGGTTTAATTCTAGGGTGTCGCTCCATTGTTTATACTCAAATGTTTACAACCACAACTATTATTACTACCAATAATCATAATCATAACCTCTGCACATTTAATTGGGGCCCTGCATAAATGAGACATGATGCAGAACTTATCATTAGACATAGCAGTTTTACTATTTTAAGACTTGGAAAGCACTCTTGTGATTTTACAGGCATCCTGTCTGGCACTATGGTTGTCTGAAAAAGAAATCTCTGTTAAATCCAGATTCTTTCAGCAATGAGGTCATTTGATTTTGCCATGATTTGGCCTGAAAAAAATAGCAAAATCAAGAGGGCAGAGGCGAATTCAACTTTGGAGAGCCCCAAATTTACACAATTTAGGGGAAATGCACTGGAAAGAGAATATAAACTTTCAAATAAGATTCAGGGCCCATGCAAGCTTCAGTTTCTTTAGGTTTATAGCAAATTCGCCTGTACTGCAGGAAGAGCAGTCAGGTTTCTGGTGGAACGTCTCATGCTTAGAATACACATTTGAAGCTATTCCAGGCACCTGTGTACCTCATTGGCCACAGGCTTTACCATCTCTGGGGGCTGTACTGTCCGCTGCTTGGAAGGTGAATCAGACCCTGATGAAAGTAGGGGGTTCTCTGCCAGAAGGCCTGGCTGCAGTTCCAAGACAGCTGCTGCAAAGTGGTGGGCTATGGGTCAGATGTGGCCTGAAGACGGTTTGTTGTTGATGGTGTTTTTTCCTTCTTGTTTGGTGTTTCTTACAAATGTGAATTACACTTCTCAAACTTTAAAAGCCAAAAAATTTCAAATAAAGAGTTGATTTTTTTTCCTCTTGAGAAACTGAAAGACTGTTCCACACTGGACTTAAAAAAACAGCAGCTTTAGAGGAGGACTTGCTTGCCCTTTGGCCCAGTCCCCACCTGGCTCCCTTTCTCAGATTTCCTGCCTGACCTTGGACACACGTGAATTCATGATAAAGCTCCTGTCCAAGCCAGGTGCCTTGCCTCACCCTGGTCCCTTGCCTTATACCTGTCCTAATCCTTTTGATCTCTGATTTCCTATCGTTTCCATGTCCTAATCATTTTTAGTTTTTCTTTTAAGATTAGCTGTGCATTATGAATATTTACACCCCACCTTATTGGCTACATTGTTTTATAGGTCTTTTGCTTTTTCAGCTTGCATTGGGCCATGCTCAGGTTATTTCATGAAGAACCACATATAGTTATTACAAATATCTTCACGTTTGTGTTTAATTTCACACTTCATATCACCTTTTTTGCGTCTTTAAAAGTGATACATGGTATGTTTAATTAAACATTTTTGTATTGGAATAAAAGATTGACAGTTTGAGAATTTTAGGCCTTCTATTGACATAAGTGGGAGAAAGTCTTGACAGGACAAGGGTTGAGAGCTATTCCTTTCCGTTGTAAACTCCTTGATGGCAGGGCTGTAACAACCCAATGCCCAGGCAGTACTTTGCCTTCTCCCTACTGCAGGTTTTGCAATACATTATGAAAACTACGTTTGGCTCTTCATTATGGACCTATACACTGCTGCTCACTAAACACTGGCTTCTTCATGAATTCCTCGGGATTTTGCATGAAAAAGTTATAGAATTAAAAGGAAAAAATGTGATGGAATTTACTGTTGATTGATACTTTAAATCCTTTTTGAAAAAAGGTATAGTATCAATCAATGTAGCAAGCAACAGAAACATGCCAATTCATAAATGATATAGTAAGCTGACAGGCAAATGCCAACTATTAATAGATAGTAATCTTTTCCACGTAATACCACTGCATTTAGATTTATGTTTCAAAGAAGGTCTATTTGGGGCATTAAACTTATACTTTAAAAAATCTATGAAAACTGCAGTTTTTAAAAACTAAGTTAACCCCCAGTAATAATCTATTTCAAATTAACACACAACTTATATAGTTGGAAAAAGAAAAGATTTTTGGATATATATTTTATTTGACAGTGTTTTAGAATATCATACAGTAAACAAGATTTCTGTAAAAGTTAATTTATCCATAGTGGTGCGTTTCATAAAAATAGTTGCTCACTTACAGTCTTTCTGTGACTATTAATACATGGAATTATATTTATAGAGATACAGCTGTACAGGGTAAATTCACAGCTAACACTACACAGAAATATTATTTGGAATGGGACTTAGATGATGTGCTGTCTTCACAGGTTATGGATTACAGCCGCATAAAGCAATTACTGCACAAGTAGTAGCTGTGAACTGTGCAAATTAGAGTTTATGCCAGCGTAATCTCAATTTTTTTCCTTTTGTAACACATGGAAAATAAAGGTCAGAGGATACAGTACCAGGACGTGCAGCTACACTACAGAAGCATTGTCCAAAACCAGATTCAATAAATTAATGGCAAACTATACTGGATTTCTAGTCCAGGGGAGAAAGACTAATTGAGATTAAACCAAAAGTATTATAAACTGCTACATGTGTTTGTGCTTTTGTTTATGATGAATGGGTTTCATTTTTGGAAATTGCTTTTACAAGCTGCAAGACCCTTCACGTGAGGCTTTCGACTATATTCTCTCCTTGTCAAACAACTAAGCTACTCCAACGTCTGATGGAAATTAAACTGCTAGTGCTCAGGTTACTGCAATTACAAAAAGAGGGAATGAGTCAGGCCAGGGAGGCTATTTTGTGTGACCTTTGTGATGGACCTGATCTCCCCCTTTACTTATTTGACTACAAGTGCAGGGAGGTGAAGCTTATTTGCATTTGAACTCCTGTAAGGAGGCAGAATATGAGAAGAATGAAGCCTTGTTCATTCAGGGCATATTAAAAAGAAATTGCTTTCAGAAACATTTTGCCATTTAATATGTGTAGCTACAATAAGTACCAATGGATAATTAATTGAAGCTAACATTTTACAAAGAAATAGTAAAACAGCAGGGAAGAAAGGCAAGACTTAGAATTTTAGTAGGGGATCAATCATAGATCCGTGGAGATAAACAGAAACATTAGAGGTTGCTAACGAAATAAAAAATTGGCAGAGAATACAAGACAAAAGCAAACCAAATGGAAACAAAAGGACAAAGAATTAAGGAAAGAAAGATAAGCAGAAAGGAATGCTAAAAAGACTCATGTTCTTTAATGAAAATAAATTGGTTATAATAATGATTTTTTAATATTAGAGATTCATTATAATCCGAGAAATATAAGACAAATACTTTGCCTCTGCTCTGTCAAAGTGCAAATGAAGTCATGGAAAGAGGGTTTAAAATAAGACAATAAAATAAGTGAAATATAACATTGCTGACAACGAAGCTATCTATCTCTGCCAGCCTGGAACAATAGAAAAGCCTTTCCATAAAGGAACTGCAGCGTTGCCAATCTTGATTAAACAAATTGTGGTCCTTCAATTACAAAATTCATATTTTAGAGGAAAACCAATTAAGATCTACGAGCTAAACTGCAAAATTCTCACTTATGGCAAACTGTTCCCTAGGATACAATTTTTAAAACCTTTTTGTCCTACCACTGAAAATGTACAGAAATATGATTTGATCACAGAAATGGCAGTAAAAATGGCATCACACCAATGAATTCACTAGATTTCTAACTCATCCTGCAGTATGCAGGGAACGCTGCTGCTAATACCGAGTATGGATGCCGAGGGTGAGCCGTGGAAACGTGTCATGGGCGAACAGTTCTGAATGTTTCAAAGAAACCCTTTAACCCCTGTCTAGATATGTCAAGAACAATTTATTTACAACGCTTTAGATCAATTAAAAGATATAATCTTGTCTCAGTTTCAGCTTGCTCCGTGCAGTTTGATTTTTAAGGCGATATTCCAGTTTGTGATTGCTCTTAACTTGTCCAGTTTCTTGATATAAAGTTTGGATGACATCCAAATCCTTCATGCAGTGGGGGGAATTTTTTAATCTTTCTTTCTCTCATTTTATTTTTTTTCTTTTTACTAAAGCTACACTGCACTGTCTCTGTGATGTTCTTCACGTTATTTTGGTTCTTCCATAGCTGCCAAAGCCCCCACAATGGGACCGGGGGCTTCAGGATCAGTTTAGGTCTGCGCGTGGACGCTGCGCCGCCCATGCTCATCGGACACGTGGGACTTCACGTCGATGTTCCCAGGCCTTGGTGCCTCGTGGATCTATGCGTGTGACAGTGAAAATAAATTAAAACGCCGTGAGACGGAACCTAGGAAGCACGGCCCGCGCCGAGGCGGTGGGCGGGCCGCGGCCGCGCGGCTCATCTGCCCGCGGCCGAGGCGCCGGGTTTGAGCACGCCCGGCAGCTTGTCGGAGCCCGGCACCTTCCAGGGCCCCGGCGCCACGGCGGCCTTGCGCGCGGGGGCGCCCCCTGGGGGCCGCGGGCCCGGCCGGGGCCCCGCGCGCGC